GTTTGGTAGAAATCGACGGAATTCTTCGGATACCTGGTAGCGAACGACTATGCCGAAACAAGATAACCCACCCGGCCAGCCCACTAAAAACCGAACGAAATAAGAAAAATCAGTACCTATGGCGAAAAAAAAACTATTTTCAAACACTGTCGATAGTCCACGCGCGTGACAGTGATTATATCTCGTACCGTAACCGTAACCACCGCATACGTACAGGACATAATTATTATACACGTGTACCGTAATCTGCCAGTGCGATAAGTATACGAATATTTATGTTTTTGTTTTTATTTTTCGTGCTGGACCCACAGTCGCTAGCACCGTGTGTACTTGGATACAATACGATAATAGCGTTGTATTGTATTACTGTATCTGTTTTACTGGTCGCCTTACCAACAGCGATTCGTGAGCGTATAACATTTTCTACTGATTTTTCCCACTTCAACCCCATTAAAGTTCACGAACTACACCGCTTGTTCGTATTCGTCGTATAATGCAATATTACAGCAATATATTCGGGAATGTATCGACATCACGAGTTTCTATAATATGAAATATATTCAATATTCGTAAAAACGACGTAAAACGGTACTTGGTTGTCGTACGTTTTGAAAATGAAAAAGTGAGGTTCCGATTAGGGTAAAATAAAATATTATAAATAATTTCACCTCATGAATTCTTGTCATTTTTATTATCGTATTGTTGTGTACATTATCTCCTACGTTATTTTGTGAGTTATAATTCTGAAAAAGCGAATACAAAATAATTTATATTGTAAATAATTAAAAACGTGAATTTTAGCGGGGGCACAATTGATACAAGTTTCATTAATTGTACGTATAATATTATTATCAAGGTTGAATGGCTCTGTATAGAGCGTACCACATGTGAATGAAGACGACGTTATTTTCTCACATGTAAACAATGAATAATCACACACAAATACTGTTGTTGGGTAAGGTGTATTATATAGGTTATTTATTATTGTACATGTTTCGGTGATATATTATTATTATTTGTTGTTTTTGTCGATGATGTATTCGAATGATCGGATTTTGTAACGTTCAAACGAATAATTATTATTATCGATCACCGGACAGTATTCACTGGACGGAAAACTAGTTATTAGCGTGCTAATTATTTTTCGTTAACGTTACATTATCACTATTTCGGAACAACGTGTAAAAATGTTTGTGGATCTTATTGCAAAAGGTTCCCATGTGCATCGGCAGATACGGCGAGCGTAATAGGCACTAATAAGTGTAATATTCTACGCTCGGCTTGAGGAACGTTGAGTTCATTACGGAATATGGGATGTAAAAATGTAATACATGTTTTAAACAGGTGACGTACACGACTGTGAGAAATTATTATCAGATAAATATCCATTGTCTTTGATAATACACATAGTGATAATATTACGTGGTACGCAGAGTCATTCATAATATCGTTTATCTTACTCGGCGCCAACATTGCTGCAAAGTGAAAAACGAAAGTGATCGGCTGTTAAACGTTGCGTCGGGGCAAAGCGCGTTAGGTCGGAAACAATGTGAATGCCTCTTTTGGATGGACCGGCACGAAGGGCGTGTGGGTGGACTAGACGTATTACGTATCATTGTCTTATTAATGTTTTCATAACACTCTTACGGAGTCGGTTAAGTCCGTGTTGGTAGTTCGACGACTGGTAATGAAAAATCGACTTAAATCCGGTTCAGGATTATCGTTATGACATTATAATAATATCATGTAATTAACTGATAACACTATTGTCTGGCGTAAAATTAGCTCTGGAGCACGTCATTGCAGTAAAGTAGACTTTTTTCAGACCGTTCGGTTCGGGTGAGGTCAAGGTAACATTACGACACGACATAATGGGATTTTAGTCTGAGGTCGTTCCAGGAACGTCCCGACACGTATCGTTAGATGCAGTGAACTCGCGTATGCATAACGGCCACGTGTAAAATTACATTGTCCTCGGTCACAGCTAAGAACATGAACGGATCGTTTTCTCTCGTTTCTTCTCTTTTTCTTTTTGTTTTTCATACAATTTGGTTTCATAATTTTCGGATAGTCTGGTCGGCCGAAAACCGAATAATTTATATTTTAACGCGATCGCAGGGCGAATAAAAAAAATCCCAGAAAAGTCGTCGCGAACGATTTCGAAACGCGTGACACACACACACGCACACACACACACATACACGTAGCCCCACAGTTGAGCATAATATTCCCGTTTCGCCACGGTGTTTCCGGATCGGGCGGTTACATTCTCTTTGGATTAGGTAACCGCCTCTCGATCGGTGCGGCCCACAGTCTACGATTGCAGACTTTTGCTATAATACTCATTTCGTCGTAATGATTGTTTAGATTTTTTTGAAAAACATTCGGGACGATTTCGATTCAATTGTTTTTATTATTTTTTCATTATAGTTTTTTGCCGTCGTCTATTCGTATCTCGCGCACATTTTCTACGATGGTAACGAAAACGATCGAGCGGCACAATGTTTACGTTGTATAAACCGATACGGATACATGCGCATCAGTAGTGGAGTGCGTGTTCAGGGCTAAAAAACAGATTTGCATTCTTACTGCGAACACTCAAAATACATAAGGTCAACGCAATCGTTATCAAGGTATACTGCTCTGCGACGATCCGCTGCGTAGACTGGTAGACGTGACGATACGATGTTATTATTGTGTTGACACAATGACATGGGTCTTTTGGTGAAAAACGCATTGAATGACAGCTCGCAAACGGATAGATAGGACTAACGTTTTACAATTTGAAAGCTCATGAATTTATTAGTCAGCCCCATTAATTACCATATTGTTATGACTTGGAGAAAAATATTCCTGAGAACGTGATGGGTCGTGAAAATCATTAAATTATCATGTTTATAAATGATAAATAATATTATGCGGTACATGCTCACAATGAATATTAAAACGGCGTATAGCGTTGCTCGGAAATATATTGTCAACAGATATAATAATAATATGTATACGATACACATAATATTATAGTTTGGTAATCAAATATGTTAAAATGCTCGTCGATCCCCGTGTACGAAAATAAAAAATTCTTGAACTAATGTTATTCGGCTAATTATTTCTATCACGGTATTCGGCACAGTATCGCGTCATTTTTTATTTATTCGTTTGCTTCGTGCGTATATTATTGATGTTTAAGTTGACTAGTTAAACAACATAATATAGTGAATATTATTATTATACTCAGTGTCCCTGTAACCCGTTTATCAAAGTGGAAATTTATCCTCCTCGGTTTCTGCTATACAAGTCCGGACAAGAACCAATGTGCTACATTATATATACACTTTTTGATACTAATATAAATCGTTGTATACGTATTCAATACAAGTAAAAAAAAAACTGAAAATGTTATTACAATAATCTATTATACCGCTTGAATTTAACCACTCGAAAACATCTCGGAGGGAATAATTATAACATTGTTATACGAGTAAAATATGTCATATCAGAGGAAAAATTTCTACATTTGATTTTTTCACAACTACGTCATTGTTTTCATAATAATAGGAAAATAATTAGAATACTTATAACATTGATAACGATAGTAATAAATTATATTTTATTATTGTTATTACGATAAAGGCGTGGTGTATGTTTTGTATGCCTACAAACATAACATATCATTAAATTTTCGTTGGTATTTTAATACGTGTGATGTGAAATAAGATGTAATGATGCGGAATCTCCTTGAACGTATTCGTCGTCATCATCAAGACGCGCGTAAAATAATATAGTATTGATTTGCACTCCTGTACGGAAACGTATGCATAAAAACGAAACGGAGAGAAAAAGTATTTTGTAACGCAGTCACGAATATAATGATGATGAGACAGAAACAGTGTTCTCGGCTGTAAAAAAGTCGTATTCCCTTTAATTCTGCCGTCCAATGGATGGATATCCAGAAACATTAAAACTTGTGCGGAACGATGTTGGAACTTTGTATTGGTTTCCGTTGTATTGAAACAATGCGGCCAATTGCATTGGTTTTTTCGTAACACGTACTTAATATTTTAATTCGTTTGCATATTATATAGTTGACTATTTTTTAAAAAACATAATAAAATATTCAGCATTCAAATATTGTTCCATATTATTAATTTTCATTGATCATTAATGTAACATATTTTGAGCTTTTATAACTTTCTCTTTTCTTTTTTAACTAAAAGTTCAACATATCCAAAATGATATGATAACGTAATTCGTATACCTTTAGGATTTTTATTTTTTCGACAAAGATGATTACGATGTATCATCATGCTGGAATCGAAATCGGTGTCAACCGCTACGAACTTGTTATATTGTTGTACTCGCAGAACAAAACTAGTTGAGATGTACGCGAATCAGCAACGGACGGTAAAATTTACCTCCATCGGTCGGGATTAATATTTTTAACACGTACGCATAAAGGTCCATGCGCATATGCCCCATGAGTGGTTACTCGTGCAATAAGAACGCGAATGGAAACTTAACGACCACCGGTCGATTCGTCATCATCGTCGTGTGTTATTCGTTTACGAAAATATGTCATGTTTTACGTGACTTTTCGTCTTTACAGCTAACTTTTTTTTTATCGTTTCATACGGGTTAGTTTAATCACGGAAATAGCGTATATAAAAAAAAAAAAATCACCGCAAAACTTTCGGGTGAACATTGTAACACGATGGATGAAACCATTGTCTGAACGGTAACGATGACGTGCCAACAGGTTATTATTCGCGTGTACGTTATAGAACCATCGAATGATAACGACGAAACGGCAGACGGGTAACATTGATACAGTACGAATGTATTTGGCTTTCAGCGAAATATTCCCGTCGGCATTACGTATACGATTTCCGATGTACAAACGCGCGCGCAACTTCCTCCCGAACGAACTTGACCCTTTAATCAATAATGTTGTACCGCTTGATACCGAAAAAACGATAATAATTTTTTTTTTCCTGCCACAGAGAAGGGAACGAAGAATCCGGCGGCGATAAGGCGATGATTTCGTCCGGCGTGGTTAGTTCACCAGACCTATTGGCCATGGAGACCCGGAACGGTGGCATGAGCGTCGGACTCGCGGATGGAGGAGGCGGCATCGTCAATCCCGCGTTTCAACCGCCGTCGCTGCTCAGCCAACAGAGCACCGTATGGACGCGCCGCCAGCAGGCCGTGTGCGTCCGGCACGCGTTCAAGCAGTACGGTTCGGCCAGCAAACCCAACCACGTGCTCAGCAACCTCAACATGACCGTCGCCAAAGGCACAATGTCAGTCGTAGTAATTATAATTTTTTTTTAACATTCATTTTCTTCCGACGCATAAACTATTAAAATATTTATTACGGTTCGCGATCCTGCGGATTCGGTTAGTGGTACCGGTGTGTTTGAATAATGCTCCAGACGCGGGACTTGAATAGCCGGCAGCGGCGATAACCTCGTAACCGTCGTTCGTCGTACGTGTCAGCGGCACTCTGGGCAACTTCCCTCCGGTCCATACCACGTTTTCGTGGTAACCTATACGCGACGTAACCGCCGAACGTTATACCATCACCGACGTTGTCGTATGTTTTGCTTACGAGGTTTTTCGTTTTCGGTCCAAAATCGTTTCCTAAAGCGGACGCTTAGCTAAGTGGGATATGATAATTATTTAAAGGAGATATTTCGTCGTAGTTACACGAGACACAATAATCCGTGTCGATTCATTGGGCAAGCGCTGTAAAGCTGACAAAACATCGGCTATTTGAGCCCATTCGATTTTTGAAAGTTCAAACGATATTCTTACGTAAAGACCTGTTTGTTTTATATTTGTAAAAAAATCTTCGCGAATATCTACATCATATCTGCATTTGTCTTTCGTATCTTACTACGATATTTTAAATCAGACGATGGATAAGAGCTCACGTGGATTTTATTTTAAATTAACATTTTACACTGTCAGTCCATTAAACAAATGTTCCTCGTGCCACTGTTTGAATTCATAGCAAGTTTTATACGATTTCACCGCTGGACAAACATTATTATTGTTTTCGTGTGCTCGGACGGTCGTCAAATATGGTTATTTTTCCGAATAATTCTCCGGCTGACAACGTCTGGGAGGGACCTACCTTGTTTCGCCGTGGGCTTTTAAACACCAAACGATTTCACTGTATAAACGTAATAGTTTTATGCGATTACATCCGCGCGGGGTCAGCAAAGACATACTTAAGTATTACAGTAGGTAGTGTCCGCGGTGTTTGCGAACATGGTTTATACGTAACATATTATAACATCGAAAAAAAAAAGCGCTCACACTTTGCGTTGTAATGTTGTAAATATGATTCATGGAGACGCGCGTAATGCTATTATCCTTGGCATGACCTCCTCCAGCCACAACCGGTTTCCTTAGGTTCCTACGTGCGGCATACAAGCAATAATCCTCCACAAGTCGCGTAAAACGTCATATTACTATACCGTGTGTACATTTTATCGCCGAAAGGCGACGGCGGTGATGGCGTCTTTTTGTCATCCGCAGAACACATTTCGCGTGTACATTTTTCGTTGGCTGGAGGTCACGCACGCGTTTGCAAAAACGCGACTAAAACACACGTTTATTAATTAACTTTCTTTTTTTTTTCTTTGAAACATTTTTCAGTTTCGTAATATTTGTTCTCCCAAGGGTAATAGTATATTTGTATTTCATTGCCACAGTATTACTACAGAAATCTTGCGTTTACGCATCGCTGTTATGCTGTGTTTAAATGCTCAATGATCCATGCTCCCGGTGTTATCTCAATCCACTTATTCAATTTACTTTCGAGTCGTTTCAATCCTTGAGATTCACGAGACATTTTGATCGGAGTTTTCTGACTGCTGACGATCGATTCATAAATTAATTAACATTGATAGCATTTAAAAAGAAAAGATTTATTTATCCTGCGAAATTTCACTTTCACATTAGGTCCATTAGTGTTTGACATTGGTTGAAGGGAGAAAAATATTTGCAAATATTTTGTAGTATTACAATAATATCACATATTGTTAGAGTTAATATTACCATCACATTATCATAACTATGGTAGAGTCTTAATATCTATCTATTGTTTTTTTGTTCATAAAATAATTTTATAACACGAGTATGCTTAAATTGTTGTTGTTTTTAATTCTGTTATAAATATTTAAGCGAAAACCCAGATTTTTTTTAACTTCATAGCGATCAAATTTTTCCTTTTATCATTGAATTTTCAAAAACCATGTTTCTTACGACTAATAAAAATCGAATTTTTCTTTTTTCCCTTACGTAACTAATAAATAACATTGTACAGATATGGATTGCTGGGAGCCAGTGGTTGCGGAAAGACCACATTACTCAGCTGTATCGTAGGACGGCGGCGTCTCAACAATGGACAAATTTTTGTGCTCGGTGGAAAACCTGGGACGAAAGGCAGCGGAGTGCCAGGAAAACGTGTCGGATACATGCCTCAGGTGAATATTTTTTGAAGTAAAAAGGCGGTAAAAAGCCGCCAAGAATATCCTAAGAACGATGGTCGAAAATAATGGTGGATTACAATATTCACACTTAATTTTCCTATCACTATTTGTTCACAAAAGCTTAGGTGAATTCTTAAAAGCACCCTGAAAAAAGTGATTCACGGTCTGTGAATAATTCTGTCCCCAAACTTATGAATATTTTTTGACTTGTGCACAGTAGTATAGAAAGATATTCGATGGTATGTTCAGTTGAATGTCTTGATATTTTTTCAATAGGAGTATGAAATGTACACACCCAATAGAATGGTATCATTAAAAACTGCACGAGGACGATAACGGATTAAACTTTGAACATCCTATAAGTGTATGTAGTCTTCATATATTTTTAAACACCTGCTGCGGCTCTATAACACCATGATACATTATAAACGTTCGGAAGATATTTCGAAACCCGCTGATAAATAACCGGAAAAACTTGATGCGGCAATATTTAAAAATATCGAAACGGACGTGACGTCGCACCATAGGTCGGGACCGGAGTGGAAATGACGTAGACTAGTTGGAGCAATGACCATGAAGTAGTGGGTAATGAGTATAATATGCGAAATCGAGTTGAATCGCGATGTGCGTTCCCGGCGGAAAAATGGTAATCTTTCAAAATCATCTTCTATCACGGTGTTTCGTCTATCGCCCACCGGATTTAACTATAAAACTAGGCTTATCACTAGCCGTATGTGGCTATTTCAGTTCACGTGCGACGCGTTCAATGACGGTTATCGCAAAGGACAGTTTCTATCATCTAAATTCGTCGTAGGATCCGCTGGTTTTGCGGAGTCCGGGGCAAAGTACTAACTTAACAAGAGGTCTAAAAATTTATTTTAGTAAAGCCAAAAATTAAATTTTCTAGTACGCCCTATTACTACTCGTACGGCATATTTTTCTATTTACATAACTTCTGCAAAAACATTTTTTCTCAGTCTGGAACATAATTATATTTTATCGTCAAATCGTTGGTAATACATATTATTGCTTATTAATGTATTAATATTACATTATTTATACTGCAACACGGATACCTATTAAACATTACGTCGAAGTTTAAGATTAAAATACCGCGGGAATTTTCACGTAACACGGAGCATTTGTTATTCGATTTAAAAAAAAAAAAAAAAAAACCATTGGCTTTTTAGATTTATTAAATCCGTATATTATTGAATCCCACGAAAAGCGCAGGGCCCTTCCGCCGGCACTGATACGATCTGGCCGGCCGATTCACGTCCGCTGGTGCGGCGGCAGCGCAAGGTTAGACAGATGAAATGATAACAACATCGTCGAAGGCGGTAGAAGCTTTTCAAGGCGCGCAAAGACATGCGTTCGTATTCAAATAGGTATTACGCGCGTGCGCACGTAAACTGCCGTTTTTTTTGAGGACGCGACCAAGGCTGAGGCGTTGGTACGCAGTAATTACGTCGCGCCGCGAATTCCGTAACATCACGATACCGGGTTTTCGATAATCAGCGACCAGTCGTTATTATGAACCGAAACGCGCAAAAAAAAATTCAAAACAAATATTACATTTTCGTACGTTCACAACGGGTAACATCTTCTTAGTCCGATTTGCGGCACACGGCAAGCATGTAATCATAATGGGGGGGGGGGGGGGGTAGCGTTTAGCCCCTGCCTCAAAAATCGTATTTTAGGATGAGTTTTGATGTACGGTATTTACCACTTGATTGCTCAATATTTAAGCCCCAATAATTTTGAAGAAGCTCCCCCCAAATTTTTTTTTTTAAGAATTACACTTATTTACGTGCCTGGAACATAACTGTTGAATTATTGTAATAGTACTATACTGCACGCGTTAGACGGTCATATTTTATTCGCATCGATTACATGGGTGGTAGTCGATAAAACCGCGGGACGCAACGACCCAAGTCGTGTGCAATTTTCTAATTAGTGGTTGTCGGGTTGATTCCGTTGCACGGGAATCGACATAATGTATAGTAAACATACACAGAAAACAAAACGCGGTTGATTTATGATCGTCATGATAAATGTCTGATTAGCATTTCATATGTAGTTCGCTGAAATCTATGATTTGTTAACATTTGTTTCGTACACTTAGAGTGCAGGGAAAGAGGGAGAACAAAAACTGAAGGAATATAAAAAAAAAAAAAAACTATTATAAAATTTAAAAAAACAGATAGGGAAAAGTTTTGAACGCGTTTTTGTATTTTTTTATGTGCAATTTAATGCGAGAAGTTTTTTTCAGTCGGGATTTCACAATTTTAGTTTAAAATTCTTTCAATGTTGTTTTTCTTAAAGAAAAGAATAATCAGTTTTCTTACTTTCTGGTCGGTCAAATATATTTCTGATATAATTTATATATTCAAAAAAATACAAGATAAAATGTTAATAGTTTATTGTGGCATAAAATAGTTAAAAATACAACATTAATATCTTTCAATCGTAATACTGCAGTTCAGAATGCCATATAATATAGCCTGAAACCTTGCAATGAATGAAAAACAAAAAAACGGCGTATTTTCGGCAATCCGCTTACCATTTGACTTAATAAATCCGTATGTGATCTTACATATACCATAATTTACTATGTGTCGAACATCGAAAAATAATGTAATGAAGTAGGTACATAACACACGAATGACAAGGCGAAGACATTATCCTCCAACACGTTCTGCCATCCGTAATGGTCATAATGTTTTTAATGATTTCCACACAAAGTATTTTTATTTTACAGTATGAGATCCTAATTTTTTTTGTTAAAAAAATGTTTAATCTAAATTACGAGTATATACGTATTGTATATACATGCAAGAAACGTATGCAGCTGTAAGAAAAATACTATTATTTAAATCGTAATTGAAAACGTTTGAACAGCATATTTGTTCCAATAGAACACTGAATACATATTTATTTTAAATATTCAAAGTCGATAGTTAATATTATTATTATTTTTGAGATACAAGTTTTTAAAAACTAACTAGAATATTTCATTATGTTGTTACAATTGAATAAATTATAATAATTGTAAAATAAATTTTATTATTTTTCTGTCAATAAATAAATTTATTTATCTTAAATTTGTTACTTCACTTTAATTTATGTTTGAATTCTTAATCTAAACAATATAATTATTCACAGTTTTATTTTTATATCATAAATATAATTATTATTTCCATTCATAATCACTTTTACAATTACAAATGTAAAAAAGTTTTGATATTTTTTTTATTTAAAAACAATTATTGTGTCACTTTCTATGTTGGTTCATCGTTTTAATACCTTAATGTGTTATCGTACTTGAGATAAAACATGGTTTTAGAATAACGCCTTTTGGCAAGGAAATATACTACACTCTCATGCGGCTATTTAAGAATCAACATTTATCTACTAAACTGGATAAATGAGATTGGGAATAAAATGTGTAAGTCATAAAAACACTTTGATAATCGTTTGCTTCTACCTGAACGATTTTAAGATTTCAAATGAAGTAAATGCACGTGTATCAGTACACAATTTATTATTTTTTCCTTTTTATATATCCGTATATTAATTTATTTAAGGTTTGTATAGCGATGAAAATACATTTCTTATAAGAATATTTCTAGTTTTTCGATAACTTGTAGGGATAATTTTTAAATTTCTCATCAGTTAAAAGCATTTGAAAACAAAAAGAATTATTGAATTTCACAATGAATTTGTTGATACAGTTTCCTTCAAGTTTCAATATTTTTTAGAAAATGTTTGTATCATCAATACTTTACAATAATTTAGTAGTGTATAATATTTTATCCGTGATTTTATTATCTCTACAATTATTAATAACGATTTATTTTTTGATTTTTTTTATGAGCCCTTGAAATTTCCAATTACTATAATATACTATTCTATGATTGTTATATAACAAACAACCTTCGCTCAAAATCGGTCTTTTAATATTAATACTAATAGTTCAACTAATTGCTTTCAAATTCTATATTGTTAATATAACAAAAATGTATACAGTCCTAGGATTGAAATACTAAGAATTTTTCACCCCATGACCACTGACCATTAATTTCCTGTACAGGCAGCATAGCATTAAAGGAAAAACATTAAGTCTCTGTATCCCGTTGATTTTTTTATTTTATTTAAAACAAAAACTAGAAATTATTATTTCTGCAAAGTATTATTATATTATAAATATATATATACGTCGTATTTATGGTTTTGTAATTTTTAAAATTTCAATGATTATGGGCTTTTCATTATTTTAATATCAAGATATGTCCAAACATCGTGAGATGATTTATATGGCTTTGAACAATTAATGTTTTTACACTTTTCAATGTCACATAACTAGTTTTATTACTAATCAACAGCATTGCATCAGCCATGTACATCAATTTATTAATAACATATTATTAAAAACACATTAAAAATATTTTCATATTTTTCCATCAAATTTTCAACTCTAATTTATTTTTATTTTCCTTGTCTTTTTGTCTCTTACGATATAATATTGGTAAAGGTACCACCTGCACTTGTATTAATAACGAACGACATGACAACTACTTTAAAATTCATGTATGAATCTATGTTCGTTCCGCAATGTTTTGAAATTGTAGAGCACGTATTTCGAGTTATTTTTTTCACACACGTGCATGCTTATAAAAACGTCCGTGTCTGTAACACATTTACTGCACACTATAAATGAACAATTAAATTTTCAAATACTGAAGGTTTCAATAAACCAATATAATAATTTATCAATAAGATTATTATTATTATTTTTATTATTATTGTTATTATTATTAATGTGTTATAATTATTTAAGATATTCACTTATAATATAAATTATATTTGTTACTAATATCATTGGACATTTTTTATAATTGTTAATTATAATGACGTACCTTATAAGTAAAACAAAAAAATTCAAATAGTTTCATTGACATAGTTTTACAACGTTTTTTCATCGCAATATCTTACGCATCGTACTTTTAAAATTATAACTTTTTTCATGTAATATAACAAAAAAAACATTTCAAGGGAATTTACAAAATTAATCTAAAAACGGATAATTTTAATCTGTAAATGGTTTTAAATTTTTAATTTTTCAGCACAATAAAATAAAAGAAAACATTTTTTTTTTATATATATATATATTATACTAAGCTTTCTATTTTTTATTCTGTGTTCAAAATAAAATGAAACACAAAATTAGATTTTAAAAATGTAAGACCACTATTTTACAGTGAATATTATATTGATATTAATTATTTTATTTCGTGTTAAGGGAATAGCATATATTAAATTCGAATTGCAATACTTTAATACTACCATGTAGAAAATGTCTTCATTACTTTAATTGTCTTATAATAATGCTACTTACTTTATGACGTACACACATCTGTATATATTTATTTACATAAATACTCATATTACAACATTATTATTAAATTTACTCTTGAAATTTTGTTTACAGCGCTGTATTAAATATGAAAGTGAAATGCTGCAATTGCGTTTTTATATTTTACTAGTAATTAATATTACGATTGTAAACCTTGATCAGCATTATTGAATTATTCGTAGAGTAATATTTTGACACTTCGTTGTACATTTGTTGTAATTTGTATTCAGTCGTTTTCTTGACAATTACCTACTCGAATGATGTTCGCATAGTCGAATTGTTTATAAATAATTTATTGACGCCACATCGCAACACTGTAGTGATTCATAATACCAATTTTGATCACTATAGAACAACAGAATAAAATGTTTACAGTCGGTCACTTATCAGCCGTTATTATTTAGTATTCATTGAAAACAACGATTTTTGCAGGTTTCACTCCTATTTTTTTTTTTTTACAATTATTGTACTATCGTTTTTATTTCTTAAATATTTATCAATATAATTATTTCATTTGTGTTATTTATTTTATAATTTATCTTACTGATCATTGACCATTACCAAGCACATTAAGCTGACTCCGCGTAACGACCACATAATTGGCGCCTTAGAGTTTGTGCTGGATATTGATGATCGATATTGAAATAACAGTGTTTATATGGAAAGAAATTTGATGAATAATAGATTTGTGCCTTCTAATCGTTAAAATATTCAGATAATAAATTAAAAACGATATTTGAGGCCATTAACTTAGAATAAAAAAAAATCCATACTTTTAATAATAGCCTGCGTTTTAGAAATAGTACCATGAAACCACATTTTTTCCTTTACTTTAAAATTATTATTTGCTATTGTTTAAGACGTCTGACATCGTACGGATCATTAACGCGCAGTAAATTGTCACCGAACGTTGAAAAATGTTGAATATTTATCGGTCGTATTCGTATTTCGCGTTGTAATAATAACAATAATATAAAATTATGCAATATTTAGTCATTAAAACGATCAACATTTTTTTCCACAAAGGCCATTTAATTTGAGAAGTACCTTAAACAATGGAGTACCAACGTAACACACTATGCGTTTAATTCAAATCTTAGTATAATATCTCGTAGATCGATAAACTCTTACAATATTCGGTGATTATAAGCATTACACATATACGATATACTATATTTTCGAACGATTGTATTGAGAATGTATACGTGGAAACGCGATTTCTCCGACGCTGTACATTGTTTTTTTCCCTACTAGAATCACTGACTGTAACGGTTAAAAGTGAACATTTATAACATAATTTTTCTTTTAAATTTTTGTATCGATAAAAAAAAAATATCTTTGTGTTATAATAGCAACGTGCCAACAGAACTCTTGTTACTCGTATTATTCTTATAAGGAAGTTAATTATGTATTATTTTGAAATCTATATATTTTAATTTATAAGTCATGGCGTACAGTCATTGGGAAAAAAAGTAATGTGTAATGCTACCAAAATCGATAGTGAAAATAAAACTGCGGTCCGCAAGTGGTTTTTTTCATTGGTAAATCGTAACTAATCAGGAAGGTTATTCCAATATTAATTATATTAATTGTAGCTGCTGTATAAAAAAACTTTATAACACCTTCGTTTAGATCATGTTTATGTTATTATTTTCTCCGATTCTGTGTTGACCATAAGTGTCATGTCCCATCGTAAAATAATTTCTAAAACACTCAGTGTCTAGGAAGTAAAATATTTTTATGACGGAATCAGTAGAGTTCTGCTCCCAGGTGGATCAATTCATGACCACTGAACTTTTATGTGCATAATTTATAAATAAAATTATTTTTGTACGATAGTAGACATAAATCAATTGAATAACGTTTTACATTATTTCATCCTTGAAATAACATACGTACTATATCGTATTCGATAACAAAGTATCTATGGGTTTTGTGTAATTTATATATGCGCCCAATTAATATTTTTTATTAATTTTGTTCGATTGCAGGAAATAGCTCTGTACGGAGAGTTTTCTATCAAGGAGACAATGATGTATTTCGGTTGGATATTCGGTATGGAAACGAGTGAAATCGATGATCGACTGAAGTTCCTTTTGGAATTTTTAGACTTGCCCAGTCAATCTAGACTGGTGAAAAATCTTAGGTAATGGATTATTTTTTAGCACAACGTGCAAACTTATATAGTGAGACAATATCAATATAAAAAAAAATATATTTATACATTTCAAGTGGTGGTCAACAAAGAAGAGTTTCATTTGCTGTGGCTCTTATGCACGATCCAGAACTTTTAATTTTAGATGAACCTACAGTTGGTGTAGATCCATTGTTACGTCAAAGGTAATGTATATTTTTTTGAAGACACTATTTATATTTTTGTCTACTTGTTTTTATAATTTTGTTTTATTTTGTCAGTATTTGGAGTCATTTGGTTCAGTTGACAAAAGATGGACACAAAACCGTTATTATCACTACACATTACATTGAAGAAGCCCGACAAGCCCACACTGTAATTTTAATAACCTACTTGATGTTGATAAATCATACATATTATTATTATATATTTTTTTTTGTCAATTAATTATATGCTAATTGAATTGTTTTTTTTTTTTTTTTTGTGTACAGATTGGCTTAATGAGAAGCGGTAGGTTATTGGCCGAGGAATCTCCACGTGTATTATTGACGAAGTACAACTGCCAGTCATTAGAGGAAGTATTTTTAAAATTGAGTAGAAGACAAGGGTCCGACGGACAACCGCAGGAAGCGCCATTGAACATAGCGAATAACATATCTCTCGTAAGTTACATTAGTATAATATTTGGTTGTATTAATATTCATTGTGCAGCCATTGAACACGGCGTTTTGTGTAGGCAAATTTTTGTGTCTTACGTGTCACAAGTTCGATCTTACTTTCAAAAAGTAGACAATGATAAT